GGGGGGGGGGGGGAGGTGGTCGTACTCATGGTTAGCGTGCATTGGGTACTACACCAGTGAGGGAGGTCAGAAGGGGACGGGGGTGGGGGCGCAGCGGAGATTGTTGGGTGAAGGTAGAGGTCGTTTTCTTTCAAGACCTGCGTGCGTTCTTTTCATCATGGAGACCGCGAGCTCGCTTCCTGCTGGACAAAAACACGCAAACGACCGTGTGGAAAAATGGAACCGTCACAGAGTCCGCCCGGGGGAAGCCCGCGATTATGGGCGGGAGGTCAAAACCTCACGCCCCGCGGTGCGAACGAGCACACTCAAAGTTCCACGCACACACCTGCGTCTTGGCATTGTAGTAGCGACAGTAGTCCGACTTCACCCGGCCCTTCCCGTCGTACTTGAGGCTCCCCTCCCCGGCTCCCCTGCCTCCGCGCCCCACCCTATCACCCNCCCGCCCCTGCCGCCCCTGCCCCCTCTGCCCCCTCTCCCGCCGTCCCTCTCCCACCGCCCTCCCCTCCCGCTCTGGTCCCAGGCATCGTCCCTGCCCCCCTGTTGCCCGAACCCAGCCGCCGAGCCCCCTCCTCGGGAGTCTACCTCGTGCGGCGCCCCTCCCCCCGCCGCCTGCATGGCCCCCCCCGCGGGGACCGGAACGAGGGTCTGCCCTGGGTAAGCCACCGCTTGGGGCGGCGGGGGCGGCGGGGGCGGCGGCGGCGGGAAGCCGAGGCCCTGCTGCTGAGGCGCAGTAGACCCGCTCGCCGCCGGAGCGCCGGCAACAGCGTAGTACCCGGCTTGCTGAGGGGGCGGCGCGAGGGGGTTGCTGGTGGCCATCAACGGCGCCACCGCCTGCGCCGCTAGGTACGCGGGCGGGGGGGGCGGCAGCCCCCCCAAGACGACGGGAGCGGCGGCGGCGGCGGCGGCAGTTGCCCCCGCGGTGGCCACCCCCGGCGCGTACTGCTGGGGCGGCGGCGCGCCCGCCGCCGCCGCCGCTGCCACCGTCCCCGCCGGTGGCAGCTGCTGCTGCTGCTGCGGTGCGCCGGTGGTGTCGACCACCGGCACCGCGTACGACGAGGGAGGCTGCTGTTGGACCGGGCGGGGCGGCGGCGGCGGCGGGGGAAGCTGCTGCGGGGGACCAGGAGCGTACGACGGCGATGCCTGAAGCGTCGGCACTCCGGCGGGCAGCGTGAGGTGGACGTTGGACGGGGTGCTGAGGGCCTGCTGCGACATCGACCGGAGCAGCGCGTTGTTGACCCGCCCCTCGGGGGCAAGCAGCGCCGAGAGGAGCCGGGGCTCCGAGGCAAAACGGCTCCGCAGGGCCGTCGCGGCGTGGGGGTCGACGCTCGCGAGCGCGTCGTCGAGCGCCCTCACTTGCTGGAGAGTCACCTGCGCAGGTGTCACGGCCGAGCGTAAGGAAAGCCAACGTGCAAGCGAAATGGAGGTGGAACATCAATATTTGGCCGACGTATAGTCGTAGAGACGCTGTTGCTATGCTACTCTTGTAAGCAGGGAGCCGAGGTGGATTTATGTGCGTGTCTCGTCCCTTCTCGCGGCGCGTATCTAGATACCCCCCGCGGGACGAACAAGAGCAAAAATAATGAGGCACCAACACAGAGGGCGTAAGGAGAAATGTCCCCTGTCCCCCGCCCCCCCCCGCCCGCCCGCCCGCTCCATTTCAAAACCCAGTTAGTGAGAGGTCGCCAGTTGTCTAGGACGAATAAAAAATATTAGGCGAACCCCACAACAACGATGGCCGGCTTCATAGGGAATGCCGCCAAGGAGTCAAGCGTAAAGCGTGGCCAACCTTTACTTTTCCACCTAGCGCACCTTGACCGGCCCAGGCTGGTTGGCTGGTGCCTGCTGCTGTTGTTGCTCCTTCAGTGCTTCCGCCTGCATCTGCTCCAGCTCGGACTCCATGTAGAACGGGATCTTGTACATTTGAACTTCGTCTGCACCCAGATCGAAACGGTTTCGAGAGACGGTGTGGAGGTACTGTGAGTGATTGTATGTACCTTCGGCAACGATGACGGCCCTAGAACACAGGCTGAACTATTCCGCCAGACAAACGACCCGCCCAAGAGGGAGTACGCGAGAGAGAGAGACAGAGAGAGAGAGAGAGAAGAGAGAGAGAGAGAGAGAGAGAGAGACGGAGACAGAGCTGGACACACACACACACACACACACACACACACACACATGGCGGCCTCGTCACGACCCTCACGGGCGGGCAGGCTAAGAACACATAGGTGGCACCATCTATCTCACAGCCTACATCTGGCAGACAGTGCCTTCGACCCTTCGACGGCGGTGGTATCTCCTTCTCTCACGGAATTACAAATCTTTTGTTTGCACAACCGGCGTACAACCTGGATTTCCTGCTACTACTACACAGCAGTACAGTACTACTGCGGCGGCTGCGGATACTGGATTCCTGGACGTGTTCACCTGAAGGAAAAAGCCAAGAGAACCTGCGATCAGGACTTGGCTCCCTCGTGACTTCCTAGTGGCTTGCTAGG